TAGCAATCCCTCTCTTTGGTGTACATCCAAAGAAGGTGAAATTACTGTATCAAAGAGATACTGGCATGACCATATCTATTGCAGAACTATTTCTAGTGCCTAAGATACAGAATGAATCAAGATATTCATCAACTATCAACAGATGAGAGGATTAAAAAGTGTGATAAACATACGAATATTATTCAGCCATTTAAAAAGGAGGGAAACGTTTCGTTGTGGATGGAACTGAGTTAAATGAGATAAGCCAGGCACAGACAGACAAACACTGTAACACTTTCGTTCACTTGTGGAAGCTAAAAAGAGTTGATCACATAGAACTAGAGCAGAATAGAGGTTACGAGAGGACAAGAAGGCAGTGGGACAGGGGAATAGGGAGGGTGAATGACGGGTACAGTGGGGGGCGTAGTTCTGAAGTTCACAGCATAGCAGAGCAACAATAGCCCGTAACAATGCACTAGTAGGTACCTGTGTTTTAGAATAATGAGAAGGAAAAGTCTCAAGGTTCTCAACATATACAAATGGTGATAATTGAAAAGATAGAAATGCTAGTTACCCAGTACAGATTACAATACTGTACCCCATAAATGAGTGGAAGCCCTATATATCAATTAAAAAATAAAAATTAAGAAAAAGAACCTCAGATGTAGAAGTTTGATATTATCACCAAACAAGGTTTCATGGAATGTTCGTCAGGTACACTGACAAAACTGAAAAAGTTAATGATATTGCTTTAAACTTTTATTCCTGGGCAGGTGTGGTGATGCATGCCTGGCATTCTAGCATCAGTTTGAGGCCAACCTGAGCTACACAGTGAGTTCAAGACCGCCCTGAAATACAGAGTGAGCCTCTGTCTCAAGCAAACAAACAAACAAATACAAAAACAAGAAACAGGAAACGTTTGTTTCATTTTCAGTTCATACCCCTTGTGGTATATCATAATGTCTTTATTTTTGTCAGCTGTGTTATTAGCCTGCTTTAGCACAAATATGTTGCATTGTACTTCCCTCCTTCTCTTGAAAGTGTCAATTTGGTTGACCTAAATATTTAGGAATGTAGCAAGATTTTTTTTTTGGACTGAGGCAGCTCCATAACAGTCTTATGTGACCTAGAAGTAGTACAGAGGATTCGCCGGGAGGCAGCGTTTACATAAAAGTTCACTGTTGTTACTTCTACTGTAATTTGTTTGGAGGGGCTTTGTGAAACCTGACAGAGGTCACAAGAGAATGAAAGCTCTTGGCCTCCATCCTGGCAGGAGAGAGTGCCTCATCCATATTGGATAGCCCTTCGTTTTTAAAATACTAGGGACTCACAAAATGAAAACAATGGTAGAATTTCTGACTCCTGAGATGATCTGTGGGATTCCTTCGGAAATTGAAAATGGCCAGCATGAGATCCCTCTTGAGATGCTTTGCAAACCAAGAAGGATACTATAAATGCAAGAAATAAAAATTAGCAACCCAAATGCCCATTATTGATGGATGAATGGATACACAAAATGTGATCTATGCATATAACAGAGTAGCATTTGGCCTTCAAAAGGCAGAAAATTCTGACACAGGCTACAATGCAGGTGAAGCTTAAGGACGTTCTCTGAAGTGAACAAAATCAGTCGTGAAGAGACACTGTACGATTTCACTTATAAGAGGTAGTTACAGTGGTCCAATTCATAGAGTCAGGGAGTGGAACAAGGGAGCTCAGGAGGAAAGAAGCAGGAGTTGAAGTTTAGAAGGTATAAAATGTCAGTTTTCCAAAAGTTCTGGAGATGGATAGTGCTGATGGTCACTCAACAACGTGAATATACTTAACATTATTGAATGTTATATACTTATATATACTTATATAAGTACATACTATATACATA